TCCCTCTGTCTGAACTGCGGCTCTGTCTCACGCCCCGCACCTGCCCAGCTGGACAGCATCTACCCCAGCCCCTGCCTCAGCCCCAGCCCCACTCCCTCACCACAGGGGACATTGATCTATCCTCCCCATGCCTCTTCCCTCCCCTCTCCCCTTCCACCACAACAGACTTACCAGCTGCATGCAACTCTTCAAGCTGCTGGGCTGTGCTCCTTGCTGCCTGTGTGGTGCGCTGCAGCTGCGCACATGCAGGGGCATTTATCGGCCAAATTATGGGACACATCAGGCCGATTTCTGATGTAGTCAATTTTCTTTATATCGGTGTTGATCCTATATCGGACCGCTGTATCAGTGCACCTCTACTAACCAGCAACCCAAAGAAGGATCTCTTTAGTAGGGCTGAGCTGTTTTAGCTTGCATTGGACTGCTAGATTTCCACTGGTTAGAATAGCTGTAGAGTTGCCAGGTTCCTCTGGTTTTGCTTTCAGCTGTATGGTTTGTTCTCCTATGCAGGTGGATAAACATATCCGACGGCTGGATGCAGACTTGGCTCGATTCGAAGCAGATCTGAAGGATAAGCTGGAAGCCAGTGACTTTGAGAGCCCTGGAGGACGAGGCCTGAAAAGTATGTGAGTTTCATTTGTATTGTGACCAGGGCTGTCTCACTCAGTGCTGGAAAACCTTGTTGTCCAACGTATCTGTCTCATGCGTTGCAGGTGGGCCTGGATGAGGGAAAGGGAAAATTTTGCCTCTCTCAAATTTTAGTGTGCGCTGTTTTTGTTAATGCTCTTCTGAAGTTTAGGCAATCTTGTCTTAGGCATCACTGCTCACTTGGGCAGAGTAACAAAGAAAATGAACAACTGGTGTCTCCTGAGTCGGGAGGGCACCTACCGCCCCCCCAGCAGGCAGTTGGTGCCGACCAGGGGGTTGCCCTATGGCCAGTCATGCGCGCTGACCCAGAAGTAGTGTTCCCTCTAAGTTGGCTCTAAGAGGGTGCGTTGCCCGGAAGTGCCAGTGGCATGCCCGGAAGGGCCAGGGATGCGCCCAGAAGTGCCAGCTGCACTTCTCCTGGTGCCCCACTCCCCTGCTGGCACTAGGGAGGGCACCAGCTCTCCTGCCTGTCCTCCCTACCTGCCACCTAAGCAGGGAACACTGCTGTGAGGGGGTGCACCAGCACTCTCAGGGGGTGCGGGTGCACCAGCGCTCTCAGGGGGTGCATGTGCACCCCTGTGTGCTCCCTACTCATCACCACTGACAACAAATATAGTCAAGAACCGCCTTACCACCCTTGCTGATATACCCTGAGGTGTGTGGCCCCTTCTCTCACTGGTTTAAAAGCAGGCTAAAAGCAAAGTGGGGTTGCAGTGGGAAGAAACAGCACCCATCATCCATAGCTCTTAAATCTTTGAATCTACTTTGGGTTGAGGAAACTTTGCCCCTGGTTTGTCTTACATTGAGAGATATAAGCCCTTTTAGGGGAAAAGGATGATTTACTTTTTAAGAAAAAATATAAATTAGAAAGAAAAAGCATAAGTTAAATAATATTAAGGGTCCAGTTGAAACTGGCAACAGTAGTGAACTTGAAGAGTTAAAGGAAACCAGTCTTAACTTGGATAAGAAATTTTGTGTAGCAAAAAGTCAAATAAAATACAGAAACATTGAACAGTGTATGGCTAGTTTGTGCCTTTAACTTGATAACAGTATGGCTCTGAGGGATGTACTTAAGCTGCTAGTGGAGACAGTGGTATCTTGCTTCTCAACTAGCATGCATAGCCCTTTGGGAAGACTTGAGTAAACTTTAGAAGCGTTGACTCTATGGTTCTTAAACTTTTTGTATTTGAGGCACCCCTCATTAGACTTGAGGCACCTGCCAGCACTTGTTTTTTGACTACAGAAAAGTAATAGAGTAATTCTTTTTTTGCAAAGAACTCAGAAAGACCACAACAGGACAGACTGTTCTATGAGAACCCCTATGGGTTTCTCTTTGAAATCTCTGGTTTATCTTGTGAATCATATTTGTACATCTAACAGGGCTAACATTGTGTTACACACTTGAAAGGATTACAAGGGCCCCTCCAGGGTGCCATGGAACCATGGTTGACAATCACTGGGTTAACTAGATGGTTTTCAATACACAGGCCCGATTCTGTGGTTTACACCCTGTGCAAATATATTGACTTACGTTGTTCAACTACTTTAGTTGCCAACTGGAGCAGAATTTGGCGCACTGCACATGACATTATTTGTATACCATACACATTTTCTATTTCAAAAGGGCTTTATTCATATTAGTTAAAAGCCCTTAAAGTAATATGAGCATCCAGGGAAAAAAAAATAAAACAGCTGATACTTGATCTGAAATCTAACTAATTTGTAATAATGCTGTCTTTCAGAGGGGCGAAGTCAGAAGGATAAGAGAGGCTCCCGAGGTCGTGGCAGGCGAACATCTGAAGAAGATACTCCAAAGAAAAAGAAGCTGAAAGGAGGGTAAGAGACAAACAACTGCAAGCTTAGTGAGTTTATGGGAAAGTTTTTGCAGCTCGTGGAATGCCAACCCAAACTCTCTAGGCTTTCTTTTACTCTCCCATCTGAAGAGTCTGTTTTCCTGAAGTATACATACTAACTCTGCCTTCTCTTCGTTTTCCCCCTTGTCTCCAATGTTGAGGGATCTTTACAGTATTAAGTGTTTCTGTGCTGTGCAAAGAGTTAATGTAGCTGAAACTGTGTCTGTATCCAAGGTGGCAGGAATGTAGCCTCTGATTTTAGCAAACTTGAAGCAAAAAACTTTGCTTTTTTGTGGTTTGGCCTTTTCTGTCAGTTACCACTAATTGGAAAGGTCCCCTAATGTGCAAGCCAGTTTTGAAGAACAATAATGCATCACTCAGAAATCTTGGAGTCATTTCCAAATTCCTTCTATCCTAGATCATGGGTCTAGATCTTAAATAGACTTGAGTAGTTATTTAATCTAGCCCTTTGTAACAAATAGGAAAGAATCTCCACTCTATTTTTCAAGTGCTGTGTATTAAAAGGATAATGCCAACTTGAATATTTTGAACGGGCTAACTTCAGAACAATTCCATTTTCTCACTGACTACTCTTAAATGGCATATTCTGACTACTTAAAACTTTTTTCCCTTAAAAAGTTAGTCTTTCTCAGCTCCTGTCAATGTCTATAATGGTATTTTTCCAGGAAGGACAACATTGATTATAAAGTAATATCAAATACATGAACAGTTGTAGGAATCTTAGCTGTTATAACCAGAACCACTCCAAAACCCTGCAGACAGAAATTATTTTTAAGTTACTAGTGAAAAAAAGTAGGCTTTCTCTGCAGTTCTGTTTTTTATAGGTCAGTACTCACTGTGTATGGTATGGTTTATTCTTCTCTTTTCCTTTCTCTGCATTTAAAACATCAGATCACTTTGGTTTTATCTATGTTCTAAGTTATTCGGATTTTTTTTGGTGCTTTAATATCTGATATATTTCTTATACCTCCATGGTGCCTTTATTTATTATTCATGAAGATACAGTTTAAGCTAAACTCTTGGGTAGAATTAAATTAAATATTGAGTTTTAAGTGAGCACAAATATTTGACTGTTGCTTCAAACCCTGTAGTGTTTCTCCTTTTACAGATCTGAGTTTGCTGATACCATCCTCTCTGTTCATCCCTCGGATGTCCTAGACATGCCAGTGGATCCAAATGAGCCCACCTACTGCTTGTGCCACCAGGTGTCCTATGGAGAAATGATTGGCTGTGATAACCCAGATGTGAGTGCCTGATGTGGCTTGTTTTCAGGATAGCAAGAATCTGCTTCCCACATACCTTTCTCATACAGCAACATATGATTGGGGGTGGAGCGAAACCTGCACTTTTAGGTCACTCATTTTTAGTTTAAAGTACGCTAATTTTCTCTTCTGTTTTCTTTCTCTCTGGTCTGCAGTGTCCAATTGAGTGGTTTCATTTTGCTTGTGTGGACCTTACCACAAAACCAAAAGGGAAATGGTAAGTAGGAGCAAAGGCAAAGGTTTACCTTGTTAATTCACTTCTGCCTCTCTCTTCTCAACCATGAAGAAAAACAAAATCTGTCATCTGGACCTGCTTCAGTACATGAGCTGTGCTTTTACTAACATGCAGGTTTTTAGCCTGTAGTGTTTAGGGATCTTATCTGTGTGTACAAACAAGATAAAACTGGAAATTACTAATAACATTTCTAAAGATTGCTTCCGTTGGAACACAGATTCTCAGATTGCAGTAGGAACAGAATAAGCCCTGAAGGGGATACTGCTTGGGCAAGAGTTTACAGGATTTCACCCAAGTCAGAGTAGGGTACAAAAAACAGCTTGTATTTATATAGCTGTGTATTCATCAAATTCCTGTGTAGGATGGATATATTTGCTACATAGCTACTGCAGTGCTATAGTTAAAACTAAGGAGGGAGTTTGTACTTTGCCCTTGTCCTTGGGAGTTTATAGTATTTAAGGTGGTACATCCTTTGGGCTGATTTCGGGTCTTTTTCCAAGTTAGACTTATGCAGTTGTCTCAACCTTTTCTTTGTCTCCCCTAAACCCATTCAAATTTTGGCAAGGACGCATCTTTCGTACTTTGAAAAACTCCCATCTTTTTGTTTGGAAAACTGAAACCAGCTTTACTGTAAAGCTTTACACTTGGCAGATATATAACCCTGACTGAAAAATTGTATCTTGCTAAATAGTGGGGAGGGAAAAGATGCATAACGAGGTTAGAATTACAGGGATTTAAAAACCGCACTTCACAAGAATAACATGTTAATCTGGCTAAGTGAAATATGATTTGCACCAATGCTCTGATGCATTCAAGGCAGGGAGGCACTGAATAATATGGTATGTACATTAATAGTAGGGTGTGTTGTATTATATATAAGTGTCCAACTAGGTGGACAAACACATAAGACTATCTGGAAGACTACGTGTAAAATCCTATGCACAGTTCAATTAAATGGGAAAGACTCCCGTTATTCTTAATGGTCTTAGGAATCCCTAATGTCACTCCCCTCACTCCAAAGAAGCACCATGGCTTCTTTGCTGGTTGTCATACTTTCTGCACCCTCTCCATTAAATGCTTTCCTTTGCCCTTATGTTCTATATTAGAACAACAGCAATAAATGAATTGGATGCCTATGCAGGTGGTTACTTCATTGAGTTAATCAGCTGACTATTTTCCCACCCTTCTAGTAGTGAAGGACTCCTAGCTAAACATCGTTAACATTTGGAGATGAATACTATACTTTTCTGTCCCTAGGTTCTGCCCACGTTGTGTTCAGGAAAGGAAGAAAAAGAAATAAGGAAGGGGAGGGGAATACATACTCTAAGATGAGAAGAAGAATTTAATATATTCCTTCCTTCATGTTGCAATATTATATTTTTGACCTACCTTCCTTGTTCTTATTTGATATTTAATTGTCCAATGGCCAGTTTTAATTCTTGTTGTTTCATACAAATATGACTTGGTGAGGGAGGGAGGGAGGATGGGGGGGGAAATTGTCACAGGGATTTATTTAAGTTAATGCTTAAACAGCACTGAAAAAAATGTATTACTATGAAGTACCTGGAGCAGCAAGCAGCTGTAATTTCTGCTGTTGTATTGGAATCTGTGAAACTGCCCAAGGCATTTCAGGGGAATGAGTTACCTTTCAGCATGATCCATTGCGACCACCTAAGCAAGGCAGGTACGGAGCTTTGCATAGTGCAAATGAAGGAATTCTATAGGAATGCAAGCTGCACAACTGAAGTACAGGTTTCCCTTGCTTTATGCTGTACATGCATTCCTGGAAAACATCACATAACTCTAATTCGCATCGAAGGAACCCACTTTACAATGTAATAAATAGGAATATGTTCCAAGACCTCGACTGTAGTGACCCCCAGACCCATTTCTACCACTTTTACAAAACAATTTTAGTACTCGCCAACAGCAGACAGTACACTGAAGCACAAGGTGGTAGTGGATGTTACCACAATGGGGATGGCAGCTACAGAAACACGTGTAGCAGACAAGCGAGGAGTACAAATCCACACAGGAGACTATATTTTGGTGCATGTCACTCCCACAATACACTGCACAAAGCAGCTGACTGCGGGCTTCCACCACACCAATCACATAAGAGTTAATTTACCTTTCATAAAATGAATTTTTGGTATCAAAAGGGTCATTGCATAAGAGCAAACTCACACATACCGAACCTGCATAAAGCGAGGGAAACCTGTATGCTTCTTCATTTAGGAGCAAAGTCTGTTTTGGGGTTTTTTTCTGCACAGTTTTATAGTAGTGAAGGCAATCTGCAGGCCAGCAAACTTCTTTCCAGTGTGTTATTTCCCCTAAGCCAAGTATAGTGTTTAATTTTTGGTGAAGCATGCTTTGTGTGTGTATGTATGTGCGCGTGTGTGAAGATGTACATCTTTTTGTATTGGAATAATCTCCGTTAAACTTTGCACTGCCATGTTTTGACTTGACCCTGTCCCTACTGGCCTCAGTGGGAGAAGAATCTACTCTTTTGGTTTGAATTCCAAGCTCCTCCTATAAAGGGTGTGTCCAATGTAGAAAAAGACATTCAAGTAGCAAAGGAAGTATCCTGTGTTGTTGCTAGTAACAGTGATAGAGCAAGACAGTCGCACCCTTCCTGCCTTTCTTCAGAAATCCCTGAAGATCTTTACTGTGAAGACAAAGAGTGTTGTTATGAAGAGAGTGGGGTCTGACTTCCTCATGCTCTAGCATGGAGGTCCATTTTCATTACTTATATTTCTATAAGGTGTATCTCTACCTGCCTTATCTCTCTGTGTTGCACATTTGGTAAATGATCAGAAAAAAGCTTTAAAAAGACAATAACATTGTGGGAACATATATAGGTTTCTGTGATGTTTCAGCAATGCCGAAATGGAGCCCTTTGATTTTACCTACATGGGTAGATTTTCTGATTTTTAACCTGAGTCCATTGCAAAACCACTGCTAGTGAAACAGAAGCCCACAGCAGGGATGTTTATAAAAATAACTTCTTGTTTGGAAATTTGCTTACCGTCAATTTTTATGAGCTGCCCTTCAGTTTGACAGCTAAAATGTGAATCTTGCTATTGTTGCCATGTCATACACTGCAATGAAAGGAAGAGAGAGGAATCCAGGAGGAGGAACAAGAAATGTCACAGACACATTTCCTCATTTTTCCCCTCTTGTTGAGTTCTGCTTGGTTCGAGAAGTGCTGGGGCAGGCAGCAGAGGGGAGGGGGG